TAAGCCTTATTATAAACACTTATTGAAAAACTATTATTTTTAATAAGTGGTACTGATTGGTATATTCGATAAATTCAAGATTATTGATTCCTCTAATCAATCTAGAATTCTCTAGTAAAACAACAACTTTCACTGTGTTTTTAATATAGGCATGTTGATAAGAGTATTTTACGTGTTGATCAACAGTGACTTATCTTGATTATCAAGAACTTACATGTTCTTTCTTTATAGCCTTTCTTTGAGTATTGGCCAGTAAGATTGCTTTCTCACTATTGTACTTATCTCCAATAAAATTTTGGAGCGTTTAATTACTAAAAAGGAGCTATTATGTATTATTTACTGAAGTAATACAGAAAATTGAAGCTTTAAGGAGTACTTTTCTCTTTAGTTTTTAGCACCAGAGTGCTTAAATTCAGCAAATTTTGGTTAGAAATTACATTTTGTAGAGATATATGTCATCTTAATTTGTGCTTGTTTATTTTCTATTATATGTCTCACTTCTCTAGAAATCATAGGTCTCAAAAGCTTTGTCAATCTATCCATTGACAAAGTTAATAACTCACTTTAATTAGAAAATAAGTGACACATTGTGCTTGTTTATTTTTCTTAATTTGTGCTTGTTTATTTTTCTTTTGTAGGATAATAAAAAAAGCCAAAAACAAATAAGGCAACATATTTGTAGTCAATGTTTTTAATGTTCTCTTTCAGGCTCATGAGCATGGTAGATTTGGAATGATATCATTTTCTATGAAAGCTAACATTTGCATGCCACTTCAATTACGCTGAAAATGTAATTTTTAATTATGCATGATGCACTTAAATAGGTTACTCATAATGACTTGCTTTGTATAAATGTGATCCCAAAAAGGATATCATCTTCTTGGAATATCATTTTGTAGTAACAAGGTAAAATTTTATCAAAAAACCGGATGATGATTGAATATTATCATGAACTTTTTTTCCCCTGATGTATTATTTAGCTTGGTTACACTCCAATGATACAATTTCCTTAATTTTATTTTTTAATATTTATTTATGTGTGTTGTAACTCTTTAATTAACATTCCAATCACATAAAGTTACCGATCAATAAATAATCACTTTAAGAAAGTGTTCAATTAAATCACATTATGCATTTAGTCAATCGCACAACGCGTGATGCAAAAAACTAATTGATTCAATAAAAAGTATGAATATTCAATTACTTTTTTCATAAAACTACAAGACCTATTTTACCGTTTTCCCAAAGAAGAATAAAGGCTAAAGGGTCAAATAGACCCCTGTACGTATACGAATTGTTCAATTCGCACCCCGAACCAAAAAAAGCTTCGATCCGGTCCACCAACCAACTTAATTTGTTCAATCCCTACATTTACCCGGTTACCTCCCGTTTTCTCCCCTTAAAAGCCTAGTCAACAAGTTTTTCATCTGATTAAATGCTAACTCATTAATTCATCCCACTCATTACCTCCCGTTTTCGATGAATTTCGGAGGGTTTCTTGATAGTAGCTTTTTCGATGGATTCGGCGGAGGAGGCGGAGGCGGTTCTTTGGACGGTGGTCCAGTCTCTCATTCTTGCCTTGTTCCTCAGCCCCTTGCTAAGTCCATGTTCAACACCCCGGGCCTCTCTCTTGGTCATGTACATCTTTTGCCCCTCTCTCCTTATATCTCTCCCTAATTAAAAATGGAGATGAAAAGGAATCGTAGATTGTGTTTTCCGTGTTTATACTGATCAAATTATGGTGTTTTTGATTGGGTTTTCAAAGCAAACGGAAATGGAGTGTCAAGGAGAGGTGACGAGAATTGCAGAGAGAAACAATGTCAGCGGCGGTCATAACAGTCTTGGGAGGAGAGGCAGAGAAGAAGAGCACGAGAGCAGATCTGGTAGTGACAACTTGGAAGCTGCTTCCAGAGATGATCAAGATGCCGTCGACGACAAACCTCCGAGAAAGAAAAGATACCACCGACACACCCCTCAGCAAATCCAAGAACTTGAAGTGTAAATCCCTCTCACTCCACCCCCACCCCACCAGAACAAGTCTTTAAAGGGATGAATTAATGAGTCAGCATTTTATGAGATGAAAAACTTGTTGACTAGGCTTTTAAGGGGAGAAAACGGGAGGTAACTGAGTAAATGTGGGGATTGAACAAATTAAGTTGGTTGGTGGACCGGATCAGAGCTTTTTTTGGTTCGAGTGCGAATTGAGCAATTCGTATACGTACAGGAGCCTATTTGACCCTTTAGCCAAGAATAAATTATAGGTGTAGGGACGTGTTTTCAAAAAGTGGATACGAGGAGCATTATTTAAGAAAATCTTTTCATTCACGCTTTAAGACTTGCACGTCATTTCTACGTCTCATTTTGTCTTTTGATAATTTCTTCATTTCTTAGGATAAATTGACTTTGTCACAATGTTTTTGTCACAATCAAGTTTTTTATATTGCTAGCATGTTTTGTGATGATTTCAGATTTTCGGATGGCGAATGGGAGATGAGTGATTGACAGTTCAATTCGGTAAATTAATAATTTAAATTTTTAGTGACAACTCCGCTACCTATTTAAAAAATGGGATACCATACCTATCACTCACTTGATTGGTTCAAATCATTACATCATTTTTAATTTAAATTTAAATAATTCAACTACATCATTCTGATTACTCCATGTAAACAAATGTACAGTACCTTAAGGGTACCATAGGATCTACCTAAATTTTTATGGAAAGAACACATCATTCGTGTACCACGTTACGAGCCTAATCTCCACGTGGATTTTTCTGTATAAAATCGTATGATAAATACTTCGTATACAATAGTAGTAATTAATAATAGGTGACAACACCGGTACCCATTTAAAAAACGGGGGTACCGTACCTACCACTCATTTGATTGGTTCAAATCATTACATCATTTTTAATTTAGATTTAAATAATTCAATTACATCATTCTGATTGGTCCATATGAACGAAGGTATGGTACCTTAAGGGTACCATAGAATCTACCTTAATAATAGGCAACTTCTATGGTACCTTGAAGGTATGGTACCTTGAAGGTATGGTACCTTGATGTCATGACCAATCAAAAAATTTCAATTGAATAATTTAAATGCAAATAAAATGTAAAACATTGAATTAATGAAATGCATCTTAGATATGATACCTCCTATTTTTGTTGGATACCACATCAAGCACCTTAATAATACTTCATAAATAAATGTCAACGCTGAACGTCTGGTATGACCATTTCTACTGCTCACCCTTCCTAGAGAGTCGCTTTCCAAGCTTAAAAAAATCCAATTATTTGTTTCTCTTCATCTTCTCAAACTTGCCCGCAAAGCAACGCATAAACTAATAAATTACTTTTCAATCTCATTAAGTAACAGAATCAAAAAGAGAAGATATAAGATGAAGCTTGTTTGGTCCCCGGAAAGGGCCTCCAAGGCTTACCTTGATACTGTTAAATCGGTAAGTATATTCTTACAGTTTCAAAATATAAGCAGGAAGAATCGTTTTTTGATAAAATTAATCTGCTTCGAATTTCTTGATGAAGTAATTAATTCCGGGTGTAGTGCGAGTTGTTTCAGGAATCGAGTGTAGCGGAATTGGTATCAGCGATGGTGGCCGGATGGGACGCACAACTCATCGTAGAAACGTGGTCCAAGGGCGGTGTGACGGCCACGAGCGTCGGCCTTGGGGTGGCCAGCCACTACGCCGGAGGCTGGCACGTCTGTGTCGTTCCAGATCAATAATCGCGGGAAGAGTACGTTGAGGCGATGCACAGCGCCGGGGTGCAGCCGGAGATAATCGTAGGCGAGCCGGAGGAAGCCATGGAGAGGCTTGCCGGGATAGACTTCTTGGTGGTGGATTGCCGGAGAACTGAGTTCTCCAGAATCGTCCGCTCTGTGCTTTTGCCTGTAGGGAAGGGTCTAGACATCGCACACGTGGGGGCCACCGTTGGCGGTGGGAGAAGTAGTGGCAGAAAGTGGATCAAGCATTTTAATGAGGAATCCGGTGAAGAATTTCTTTTCCGAAAATGAACCAAGAAAAAATAACCCAATATTTAGCTCTTTGCCCATTTTATTTTAGATAATGTGAAAACTGATGGAACGTTGGGCTTGTCCTATGGGCTGAGCTCAGTAGCGTGGGCTTGTGATCCAAGCGGAAGCATTAGGGTGATGGAACGTTGGACTTGTCCTATGAGCTGGGCTATGGGAGTCGTAAAATGATCTGCCCGATCCAAGCTAGGCTGAGATGTCGTGGCCACTGAAATGGGAGGCAAAGCAGTGGTAGGATAACAGGCCGTTGATGTTATAAAATATTTATAATACAAGAGTTGACAAAATACAAAGTATTTCTAAATATACTTATTAAGTAGTTTCCTAAATATATATTAGGCAGATTCCTACATATATTAGGCTATTAAAAACAACAACTTCTATAACTACCTCAGAGGATCTCACTACGATAACCACATTTGAATTATCTTTCTTCTTATTTGAATTGTTTTATACAATTTTTCTCCACAATGTCAAAAAGATCATCTAAATATTGACATTGTGGTTGACATTGCAGAGAAAAACTTAACAAAATTGAACAAAATCATTTAAATAAGGAGAGATAATTTATTTGCTATTATTTATGTGCCTATCACTCATGCCACATGTTCACCTGCAAATTGTAGTATCGGAGATGCTCTCATAATTTGGATTGTTCCTATTTCTTTAATCAGTAATTGTATCATTTTAGTTTCAATTATGTCCTGTATATAAAGACGTAAGAAAATGAAAGATTTTGCTGCTCCCCAGAAGGGCAGCCAGCTTTGGCCTTATCACGAGCTGCGGCAACATATGCAAACACGATGCTTGTTTACTATACATTCTGTAGAGTAATAAATTTTAAACTGCACACGGATATGTCTGTGTGTGTGTGTGTGTGTATATATATATATATATATATATATATATATATATATATATATATATATATATATATATATATATATATATATCCCAATTCTGGCAGTGTATTTTACTCCAAGAACATAACAGAATACATGGGTCATGGGTGGGTTGAAATAAATGAAGCTCGCCTCCAGTTTTCCTTGAAATCTATATGTAGCTAAAGAACTAAAATTTGAATTCTATTGAAGTTGTGAAATATTGCCTCCAGTTTTCCTCCAAATATTGTTGCACCTCCCAAACAAATCAATCCCAACCATCACGGCTTCTTCTTGCACTCTTCTTCTGTGAAAGAGCCTTCTTGTTGTCAAGACGCTTGCGCTCCCCTGCTGCTGCTCTGTTGAAGAATAGAAAAAAATGCAGAGGTATGTTTGGATCCCTAAAAACTTATAGAAAGGGTAAAAGGGTACCATTGCAAGTTTTTATGTTGGGTTTCACTTTAAAATATGCATACGGAATTGACAGTTTCCTTAAATCTTTTACTTGTAAATTTGAGCATAAATAAAATGTATATCCACAAACATCATCATTACGGTGGGGTAAGGGGTCGGATGCAGTGGGGTCCTAGGGGGCAAGTGCCCCCGCTTCTGACCCTGAATTTTAGTATTAGTAGTTACGATAAAATTAGTGCCCCCGCTTCTTGATATAAAACTATGACGATTAGATATGTAATAATTATGTCAAAGAGCATATGTAAATTGTTGTAAGACATTTAAATGACTACAGAGTTATGATGAAACGATTTCATACTGTTAGACATGTTCTTGACATGGTCATTCTTTGAAAAGTGACCGTGGTGGTTATTTGTTGTGAAGTATGAATTATCTTTTTCCAAAACTAGAAGTCAATGATATGACGAGACTTCTAATATGTGTGTTGAGCTTAATGGATTTAAGATTATCTTAAATGAAATTCCATACACATGATATATTCATTGTTTTCTTACCAATTAAAATTAGTTGTGGCTATTGCATAAAAAAAAAGTTTGTGGATACTTTCTTTGGATATTTCTCACTGGTTATGTTGGGATCCCAAGTTGATGAAGGAAATTTGGACACCATAATTCTGTGACACGACGTGTAACGTTGGACACTAATAATTCGAAATCAAAATTCTAACCGTTTGTAATACAAAAACAACTTGAATGCTAATCCAAAACCAGAATTGGTGTCAGGATGATTCAATTCTAATCAAGAAACTGAATATTATTATTTAGAATTGTTTTAATGAGTTTAAAAGTAGACCTGGCGTACATAGATGTAAATCATTTGAAAGTTGAAACTGCAATTGAATAATGTGTTTTTGTTTAAAAAATTTGTTTACACATTGAATAGATTAGTTTCACACCCGACCCGTCTCCGTCCATACAGTAGTGCCCCCACTTGAAAAAAGTTTTATGACCGCCACTGGTCGGATGTACACAATCTTACCCCTATACTAAAGCACCGAGAGACTGTTTTGACTAGCCCATATTGAAAATCGCGTTTAAAAAATTATTAATTGCATTTTAGCTTATTTCCCCCATATTTTTCTTTAAGATTTTCCTTAAATGGACATCACCCTAAAGGCGGGGGCAGTGGTTATTGGTAAAATTATACTAATAACTGAAGCACCATGCAATCCTAAGAAAATTGAGAACGCTATCAGAAAAGATTGCAATCCCACAACTATTGTTTGCTACTGCAAATATTGTTTGGCAAGAGAACTCTTACAACTTTGCTATTTTTTTCACTTGCTCTTCAGACGGAGGCGGTGGGACATAAGAAGCAGCATCAATGATAGCCTGCAATTGTGGAGTATGTAAAAATATAAGTAGGTAGGTTTCTATATGGTAATAGAAACCCTAGGCTCTAGCTCATCACACACAAGGCCCATTACTTTCCTGTACAAGTAGTGTACTAGTCTTCAGCAAGAATAAAATGTAACTGTGAAGCCTTGCCTCGCCAATACGGGTGTATATAGATTTTTGGAACCCCGGAAATACTAGGGGAAGAAAATATGGAGGTAGAAATGAAAAAAATGGACAAAAACAGGAAGACATATTGACACTCAATAATTTATCTTTTCATAGATATTTTTTCAAAACTTTTTCTTTAAATTGCGTTTTATTTTAGGAAAAGAATAAAAAAACTAGTAGTTTTGTATTCAGCTTAGTATCACAGTCCAACTTTGCAGTGCTCAAGGACACATCTCTGCTTGGTCTTACAAACACATGATAGATTGGCCATCAAGGATGTTTGTTTTGCAGTTCTGAGCAGATGGGGAAGATAATTTACACGAGCAACAGAAACCTTACCAATCAGTACCTGTAATTTACTCAAGGCATCTTCGATGTTACCCCTGGATAAAGAATAGCAACTAATTAGCTGCATTGTAACTAATTAATTGAGGGAAAAGGGCCAATTAATAGGAAGAGGTTTACTTCTGTGTTCTGGTCTTAGTTGAAGATATCACAAGCTCTCCATCTTTATTGATCCGATTTGTTTCCTGCTTACAACCCAAATGTATCAAGTCGTAAGCAAATTAGTCCTGTTGCTTTGTGCTGCTTCTTTTAGCCCCTTCCTTTTAAATCTTTCTAGAATTTGAATAGAAGACACAAATGTATCATTCACTATGTCTATCATAATCCTAACGGTCTGTTTGGAACACCGGAATACCCAGGAAAGAAAGTAGGAAGGAAAATAGAGAAGATAATTGGAAAGAAAGAACATTTCTAGGGGAAGAAAGACAGGCCTAACCTCAATGTATTTATTTCACATATTTGTTCCAACTAATTTATTTATATTTAATTTAAAAAGATTAACATACTGGCATATATTTAAAAAATTTAAAGAGGTAATTATACTCCACTGCCTTGGCATTTTCCATGGCAAGGCCACGCCTAATAAGAAAATAACCTCCCAGTCCCGAGGTTGTTCAACTGGATTGAATCATCCCCAGGAGGGAACCGGGAGGTTTACACGATAATTAACTTCGGTCCCGTGGGATTATTCAGGCAAAAGGTTCCCAACACCTGCGTTAGAAATAATACTCCCTTCTCCGTCCCATAAAATTCTTCCAACTTACCTTTTTAATACTCCCTCGTCCCTTAAAACTTTGACAACTTTCCGTTTTTGGATGTCCCACTAACTTTGCCACTTTCCCTTTTAAGTAAAGAATTTATGGTATCCAGATAATTCTCTCTCCTCTGCACAAACCTCAACCACACAGTTTTTACTTTATTAATCCCCGTGCCAGTCAAATTTGGCAAAGTTTTAAGGGACGGAGGTAGTATGTCCCAAAAAATTCTTTCCATTTCCTTTTTTGAAAGTTTTGTGTGGGTAACATTCATTTACCTTTTTTACTCAACCACAATCATACGTGTCCACTTTATTCCCACTTTCTTAAACTCTAATCCAAGTGTTATGGACCCGATAGAATAAGAGTAAATAAGAAGAGTAATAGCTAGAGTAGTATAAATAGAAGGGGAGTGGGTAATAAAGGGAGGTTGTTTGACTGTTGTAGTCTGGACTGGGAAAGTTAGAGATTAGTCGTCTCTTTCTTTTGGGGGCTTCGGCCATTGACATTGTTCATCTCTAATAAAGCTTGATTGTTTGTTTGGTTCTATTCCACTTCTTCTCTGTGATTGTTGAGTTTTCTGGAGGTATTCTAACAGTGCTAAGATGGAAGGGCGTATGACGGAAGTGGAGAGAAACTTGAAGGATATGGCAAGACACCAGAGAGAAGCAGCAGTGAGGCAAGATATTATGGAAACAACGATGGCCGCTATACAAGCTAACATCGCGGAAATACAAAATAGAAATCAAAGTCGTTCGAAGAGTCGATCGCATCATTCGAATTTTTCGCAAGGTTCAGATAATCATCATCGACATAAGCGACTTTCGGCTAGATCAGAAGAATCGGAAGAGCAGAGGCATCGCAGAGGACCCGGAGAACGATCATGGAAGACTAGGCCCCTTCCGATGTCTGACACAAAATTCGTCACCGTCGTTCACCAGTTCGAGGTCGGATTCGCGAACTGTTTCTAGTTCAGAGGGAAATTCCGCTAGAGCAGAGGGACCAGAAGGTAATTCCAAGTATTTAGTTTCACTTCAAGAGCAGAGGTTTCGCAAGGGACCGGGAGATCGATCGAGGAGCAATAGGCATCATCTGCTATCGCAGACGAAGTCGCAGACGAAATCGCGAACTTCTTCTCATATTTCGCAAACGCGTACAGTTTCTCAACATTCGCAGAATTCTCCAACGGCTATCAGTTCGCATCCAAGAAAGACGCGATTGAGAGAAGAATCTACGTCTTCATCGCCAATCGATTCTCACTGTTCGCCTTCTTCATCTCAAGCCGTTTCTTTGAGTTCGCAAGCAACTTCTTTTGGTTCGCAAGTTTTATGGAAAGATGTTTCTCACATTGAGCAAAATTTTCCTCAGTCCATAAAGAATACCGAGTGGGATTCAGATAAATCTGTAATCACGAAAGCAAATCCGGAAGACAAAGTCGAGGAGCAATCTACCGTTACCGGTGGACCGGAAGCTGAGGCTGAAGTGTTTATGATGATTGACAAGGATATCAACCCTGGTCTATTCACAGATGCCTTAATCATGGATGAATAGGTTAGGGGAAGGCCAGTACTTTGTATACCTGTTCAAGATGGAGGTGCAGGTTTTGACTACCTGCTACAGAGGCCGGTACCTCATCCTTGTTTATTTTAGATTCGAATGTTTCATCAGATGGAACCAGACCTACAATTGAGAAAGACTGTGAACTGAATGTATTGGACTTCCTCTACAATAACTCCCATCAGTTAACATCTGGTGTCAAATTTAAGAATTAAGAATCAAGGTTATGTTGTTGACTTGAATCCAGAATTTCAGTTGGATGGAATCAAGGTGAATCTGGACTCTACTATTCAGACTGCTATACTTGATGTCTCCAAGATAGATTACCCTATGGATTTATCCTTAAAACCAGCAGGAGTTCAAAAGCAAGTAGTTGTTTTCTGTGTTGCAACAGGTGGCACCTTATCCTTCAGAGAATTTGAAAGGATCAAGCTCCTGGAAAAGATGTTGGAAGAAAAGCCAAGGTTACAACAACAGAGGCAGATGTTGGGATATTATATCCTTTACAACGTTAAGGAGCATTATGCCACCATGTCCTTGCATGTGTGTTTTTCTGCTGTGAAGTATACGTGGAAGAAGATGGAAGTAACAAAGCTAAAGGTCCAGCAATCAGCCAAGTATTGGGAAGGGAGAGGCGCAAGGATGAAGAGGAAGCAGAAGATCTTGATTGTTTCCTATCGCCCACCTTGAGGACAAGGTGGATGTTTAGGGGGGGAGATATGTTAGGGACCCGGTAGAATAAGAGTAAATAAGAAGAGTAATAGCTAGAGTAGTATAAATAGAAGGGGAGTGGGTAATAAAGGGAGGCTGTTTGACTGTTGTAGTCTGGACTCGGAAAGTTAGAGATTAGTCGTCTCTTTCTTTTGGGGGCTTCGGCCATTGACACTGTTCATCTCTAATAAAGCTTGATTGTTTGTTTGGTTATATTCTACTTCTTCTCTGTGATTGTTGAGTTTTCTTGAGGTATTCTAACACCAAGTCAAACTTGGAAGAATTTTTATGGAATGGAGGGAGTACTAATATAACAAATAACTTTCCTTAGCATTTCTTTTCTTTTACCTGGCTTATTTATTGATAAGTAACTGAAGAATCCAAGAAGAAAGTAGTAGTTTATTAATGAAAATTTAGTGAAGGAATACAGAAAGTCACGAAAGGAAAGGTTTGAGACTCTTCGAGTGGTCTCTCACACCCAATATCCCAGTCCTGATCCCAAGTTCTGCCCCCCATCTAATCCCCACTCACCCTTATTTATTCTATTTCTAATGGGCCAGCCCACTTCTAATAAGTTGTAGGGCCTAAACCCTATTATTGAACAAAACTAAAATGACTTAATAAGGCTCTAATTCTTGGTAGTGTTCAGGTCCCTAACATCACTCCCCCCTTTAACTTCTACCTTGTCCTCAAGGTGGATGATAAGAGACTGATTTTGCATTAGGTTCCAGCAAGTTTTCAGCTCCATCCCGCTCATAAAATTGATCTACTGTGCCCTCCTCTTCTTCGGGCTCTTCCCTCAAGATCAATTGATAATGTTTCATTCCACAAACATGCTCTTTGCCCCATTTGTTTCCACATTTGAAGCATAAGCCCTTCTTGCTTCTTTCTTCTAAGTCTGCTTGTGTCAACCTTTGGCCACCTTCCCATGTCTTACTCGGTTTTGGCGATTCCTCCAGTTTGTTCTCTGAAAGTGTTCTCTCCGGATTTAACGCAGGTGTTCTTCCCTTTGTTGCGTCTACCCAGTTCCAGGGTCTAACCATTTTTCCTCCCTGTTCCTTCCAACCTATGTTGTCTTCTTCTTTATTTTTTTTTCCTGTCCACACCTTATTCTTCTGCTCCAACAACAAAGCCTTGTCCATCAGTTCAGTTAACCCACTGGTCTGGTGTAACTTTAGTTCCGTGCTAATTTCTTTTTTAAGGCCATTGAGAAACACTCCTTTTAACATCCCTTGGTCAGCAAGTTTGAGAGGAGCTACAACCATTTCAAAGTGATCCCGGTATTCCATTACAGAACCAGTTTGCCTAATACTGAGCATAGGACCAAACGGATTCTGCACTAAGGTAGGTTGAAAACGCCGGAACAAAACATCTTTGAAGTTAACCCAAGAATGGTCATCAGTCTGTTCATCCCACCATTGGTACCAGTTCAGAGCTTTTCCGGCCATGGCTATCAAGATTATTTCTACTTTATCCTCTTCTGCCACATGGTTGAGTTTGAAATAGCGCTCAACCCTAATCAGCCATCCATAAGCATCGTCTCCACTAAAAAGTGGTAAATCGACCTTTCTTCCAGTATATACACGGTCGCTGATTCTCTTCTGATAAGGGCTGCGTGAAACTGAGTGAGTTTCATGAGATTTACCTTCAGAACTAGAGGAGCTCACGCTTGCTGAAGTATGGCGACGACGGTTTGTGGTTAATCGTCCTCTTCTCTTATGGCAGTCACCCTGTAACATGATATTCTTCAATTCGGCCACGGTCTCACGCAAGCCAAGCAGTTCATTCACGGCAGTTCTCACTTCCGCTAGGGTGTTTTCCAGATTTTCCACACGTTGCTCCATTCTCGATCGGGTCAAGACCATGCGCAGGTAAGGCTTTTGTCAATGGCTTTGATACCAATGATAAGTAACTGAAGAATCCAAGAAGAAAGTAGTAGTTTATTAATGAAAATTTAGTGAAGGAATACAGAAAGTCACGAAAGGAAAGGTTTGAGACTCTTCGAGTGGTCTCTCACTCCCAATATCCCAGTCCTGATCCCAAGTTCTGCCCTCCATCTAATCCCCACTCACCCTTATTTATTCTATTTCTAATGGGCCAGCCCACTTCTAATAAGTTGTAGGGCCTAAACCCTATTATTGAACAAAACTAAAATGACTTAATAAGGCTCTAATTCTTGGTAGTGTTCAGGTCCCTAACATTTATGGATTCGAACATACCATGTTTGGGGAATAGGGAGTACATCGCCCCAAATCATTGAAGATCATGTGAATATTCTTCTTGATACATAAAATAAAGCCTCACAAAAAATGCATAAACAGAAATGGATTTTTTTTAGTATCAATCCAATGCTGAAAATGAAAACTCACCTTCTGCAAAATCCTCTCCCGAACCCTGTCACTTAACCAGTGTGCATTTTGTACATTGAACCGCATATCCACCTTCGTATTAACTGCAAGCAAATGGGGGAAGCAAAAGTCGTATATAAACTGGAAGAAAGATGGGTTTCTTCAAGGAAGTTATAGAATACTTCATTGACAGAGACCTTTGTTGACATTTTGACCTCCAGGGCCACCACTTCTCGCAAAGCTTACAGTAACATGATCTAGATTTGTAATAAGAAGACAAAGACAGATATTAGCATGGCAGAAGACTATTTTATTAGGAAAAAAAACACAAGTCCAACATGGCTAGAGCATGTGCTGTAACCTTAAAACTTAAGTTGGTAAGGTTAGGAAGTCCTGATTTATTAGATACTCTAACAGGCCCCATGATTGTCATCGGAATGCCATGGAAAATAATTAGGCGGCTCTTATACAAATCTACTTATTATTATGGTAGTTGTTGTAGTAGTAGTTATTTGTATAGGACTCGAGAATACCTGATCCCGTGTTTATGGATACGAATGAATGGTACTTAAGGATATATGATATTGGAGTCTTCTACCTAAAGGGATAAAATAGATACTACTTTTCATATATGGAAAAATTAAATGAGTGCATAAATGAAGTAAATAAACAGATACTATGATGTATGTTATAATTACAGTTAGTATTATGGTGAGTGCATATAAAAACTCGCATTTTTGTTCATTTGTCATTATTTCATAAATAATTACAATATCAATTTGTTAACTAATAATAATAACAGTAATAAAAGAGACAACACAGATGAACATGGCATAATGGACTTCTGTTTCATCTTCTCTTCAGTAGTTTTGGTTACCCCTTAACCTAGCTCATTCATTATTGTGTACAGTGCAGTCCAGTAATAATTTTCTAAATTAAAAGGCTGACGTGGTGCGAATTGAGAACGCAAATGTACAAAGGCGGTGCTAGAATTTCTTCAGTTCAATTGCGAAAGTAGAAGCAGAAGATTTAAGTGGGAGCTGCGGGCATACCGATTGTGATTTTAGGGATAGGATCATTGCCAGCTGCGTGAGCACGCTCGGTGGCTTCATATATAAGCTGCTGTACCTGAGCCATCCTCGCCGGAGACTTCTTGCCGTCTCCATCGCTGCATTCGTATGCCTTGCACAGGATGGGAGAGCAACTGATAGTGCGCAATACAAGGAAGGGGTTCCAACCAAAGGCCCAGGTTCGCGGCGGCGCTTGGGAAAACCGTGTCCGGAGTAAGGATGTGGTTGTCCGAAATATTCCCCGGGAAAGCAGTCCCGTCGTGGCTCTCGCTGCTGCCATTCTCACCTTGCGGTCAAAGCCAAATTATCTGCTCTACTACCGCTCGAAATCAGAGCGTGTTTTAGTTTTGATTATCATCGTCATCACTCATCAATCGCATAAATAAAAAGGCCGGAAAAATAATACTCCCTAGTATTCCACAAAAAATGTAAGTTTTACTGATTACAAACTGCCATATAGACTTTGAACACAATTATTATTAAAATGTACGAAGTTAAATTTATGTCCATAAGTTTTCATCTGTAATATCTAAATAATTACAGATTTGTGAATAAAATAAAGATTGTTTACAAAAATGCTATTAGTACTAGAATAGTAATGACATCATAGTAATTTATTTTCAATTTTTAAATTTAGTGACACTACATTGTAGTAACTACTAATCATATTTATATATGTATGTAAGTTTTAGTTTTAGTGATATTTAAAAAAACATAACATTTTTGGAAAAACCTTTGAATTTTTTTAGTAATTACCACAATGCTCCTTCTCCATATAGAAAAATTAGGGTCGGACGTTGTCCAAAATGGTCTTGAAACTAGTAAACCCCATAACATACACATGAGTTTTCTAATGGTTCAGTATAGTCCGATTTTAAGGTTGAAAACATTTGATACCATGTCATTTTGGAAATATTCAAAAGGCTTGCATTTATGTCTTTAAGTTTGCAAATACTCAAATTCACGTGAAAACACGAAAAGAATATCATCAAATTGTTGAATATAATGGAACACATAAACATTAGATAATTTACCAAATTAAGAAGCAATTTTGTGGAGGAAGCGATCCAGCCCAGCTGGTCGCCGACTCACTCTCCCTTACGGGAGGTCTCGGGTTCGAAACTCAATGGAGTGAGTTGCAGTCTAGAATACTCCAGGCTCCCTCAGTCCCCCTCCCCAGACGCCCACTGGAGTAAAAAAAAGAAGCAATTTTGTGTCACTCGCAAAATGAGATCACAGAATAAAGAAACTATTGGGTATTTGGGTTAATAGGCCCGATAGCGGATCGGCCCATTACCCCTTAGCAAGGAAACTGTTAAGAACCTAGCAGGGCTCAGCCCAGAAAGGTACCCATAAGACGCTCGTAAATCCTTGAGGACGATCGACCCAAATAACCTTGGCCCAACATTAGCCAGATGATGATCCAGGGCATTTGGTGGGAAACCAGGATATTGGCGGGAAGTGCATTTAATCCTCCACAGCACCATCATTATTTACTCCTTGGTAGTATAAATAGTAGCATTTATTTCATTATAAAGGATTGACAATTAATACCTTCTAGCAATACCAATTATCTCCCCCTTTTCTTACTGAGATAGACGAACGGCCTCGGAGCTTGTAGTGAAGTGTGTTGTATACGGACCCTTATTGTTATTAGAAAGAATTGCAAAAATATTATCAGGGGAGTTGTGATTGACAAAAATATGAAAATTATATGTCTCGACATAAAAGTAACCAATCCGTCGTTTCTTCTCCCATTTCTTCTTCCCAACGCATCATCTTCTCTATGCAAAATCATATGCCTCTTCTCTGCGCATCTTCCTTGTTGTGCTAAGCTTCCGGCCTTGTCTCTGCTTTGCCTGCGACTCGCCTCACCTCAGCCTCGCCGCACCTCAGACTCGCCGCACAGACCGCCTTGCCTCGTCGCACGGTTGCCTCATTTCGTCTAGCCTCGCCGTACAGCTTCGTTTCACAGGCTGCCTTTGGCTTGCCTCACCTCGGATGGATGGATTACATATTATTTGTGGCAACCAGCAAGCGACCAAACCAGATCTAGAGAGGGTGGCGGCTAGGCTAAGGTGGCGACTGGTTAGGGCTGGGATGTCGAAGGTGGGGCTGAAAACGGGTGGGTCGATGTTGGGCTGCTCGGAACTGGAGCTGGGGAAGTGAGCTAAGGTGGGACAGGGTGGGGTGGGGGAGGGGGTTGGGGTTGGGGCTAGGGCTGGGGGTAGGTCAAAGCAGTGGTGGGTCATCAAAGGCGGCGGTGGTCGGAGGCTTTGAGGTTGAGGGCTGGGGGCTGGTGAACGGCGAGATTGGCGGCGAAAAATTTTCCGGTGGTCATAGTGACGAGGCGATGGTAGTAGCCGGAGTAACTTTCGACGGGTGACGTCACTGAAAAATCGGGTGTCACTGGGCAGTGGCGGTGTCACTGTGATTACGTCACTATGGTCGTCATTATGGCTGGCGACGGTCCCCGGCGGCGGTCACCGGTTGGAGGTGGTGGGAAGTGGTGGTGGATGTCACTGTGTCTCATGTCATTGTAGGAGGGGTAAATAAGTAAGCTTGTTATTAGTCACATTTATGGAATTTTTTAAAAAGGTTACTTTTTTGTCAATTGTCCTTTTATTAGTAATATTGAGGTCAAAACCCCTTGTTATTAAATAAGATATGACCCACTTACTACTGTTTTGACTTGTTCTTTTTCCTTGTTTGCTTGCACCACATTACTCACTTAATCCGCTTCATATTCCACTCAAAATCCAAGGAAAGGTTTGGACTTTTGGGTTCAAGGAATAAACCTCAACAGAAACGTAAATAAATACAAACATAAATAAATCACTATTGCGTAGGGGTGGACTCGGGTCCGGGCCGGGTCCGGGTCGGGTCTAGGCCCGGGCGGGCCGGTGGTTCAGGAGTGGTGGACCCGGGACCGGCCCGGGTAACCACCGGGTCCTGTCCGGGTTCGGGCCGGGTTGGGCCCATTATCAATTTTTTCCCCCTCTTCCTAATTAACCCCCCTCTGACCCCCAACCCCCCAAACCACCCCAAATGGCCCAAAATACCCAGCCCAACCCGAAAATTTAAAAAAAATGAAAAAAAATAGTTTTGGTCCGAACCGGGCCCGGCCGGGTCGAGCCTTGTTTTGGGTGACCCGAGCCCGGACCGGAAAACCCACGGGTCGGGCCTACCCGGACCGGTCACTGATCGGGCCACCGGGTCGGGCCGGGCCGGAACAGTGCCGGTTCCGAGTTGGGGCACCCGGCCCGAGTCCATCCATACTATTGCGTTTAAAATACGAGCTAGTTTAGTTTAATGTCATCCTTGAACGAGAACCTTGCTCCAAAATTTATCAACATGAATTGTCAAGTTTAAATTATGTTACACATACTTCTATTTTATACACCATAGTCACAAACAATTAAAATGTAAAGGGTAAACTATAATATGTTGGTTCAGAACTTTTATCAAACATTGTAGAAGTTCATCACATGTCTTATCATAGCAATTAGCCTCAAATGCTCATATAAATCAAAATATAATCTCTAATGTAAAAGAATATGAAATTACAATGGATGAAAATGAAAATAATAGTTAAAATCAATGTTTAAGAAGGGTGGTCTTCCTTCTTCAAAAAGACAAAAAACTATAGAAAATAGAGTATAAAAACCAGGAATTGGTACCAGGATTGAGTGATCATTCGGGGGTTTAAATAGGCCAAACAATTACATATTTTAGTGTATTCATTCATAATCTTAAGTTAGTATGGGAGAAATTTCCAAACTATGCATCTCGAAATCCTTATTTCCCATCAACAAGTTCGTTGTGTTTTTGTAGGATGAGAGAAGTTTTGTAGGATTGACATCCAAACTATGCATCTCGAACGTTTTCAGTTTTCCACAAATCCGACACCAAAGTTAAGGCATATATTTTGAATGCCAAAAAAAACAAATGTTCAATTTGAATGTCAATTCAAAATTTTAGGGTCGGTTTACTAATAGAGATATTTTCTTGTTTTCTACTTCTCTTTTTCGTTCTCCAATTTTCTGTTTTTATTTTTCAGTTTTTCTATCTCCAGTTTTCTGTTTCAATTTTCTAGTTTTCCATTTTCAAATCTGAAAACATGTTCATAAATTTTTTCACCCAATTCTATGATCATCCAGAAGACTGACATGTTTACTTCACGGGTTACTAAATGGTGCTTATTAAGATTCGCTTTAATAAGTGACGCATAAAATAAGCAATGTTATAAGATCATGTTTACTTCAAAAGGTTTAAAACACTGTTTAACATTAAAATGTCCAAAATAACCATATACATATATAGACACACAAACATTCAAGAACACAAATATATAATATAATATGTGGGGTCGATCACCTCGTACGTGTACCCATACTCCTAACCCCTACCTTGCGCCTATACCTCGTACCTCCACCCTACACCCTACACCCAATTTCACACCCTTGAGCCCTACCCCTGTCATTACCACAATCTTACACTCTACTCATACTCCCCTAAAACCCTTCATACCCACCCATACCTACACATTTCTTGTTTTCTGTTTTCTAGTTTTCCAGTTTTCTGGAAAATATCTATGTTAGTAAACATGCTCTTATTCTCTCAAGATCTTTCATTTTAAATTCTTGGCTAAATGGTCAAATAGGTCCTTGTACCCTTTGGGATTGCTCAATTTGCCCCTTCAACCCAAAAAAGCTCCAATTGGCACCCTGAACTCGATAAAAATATTCAAATTCCACTTTTTGCAGGTTTTAATCCGGTCATCGCCACGTCACCCGGTAGGGTGCCAACTGTGCATGTGACGTGGCAACTTAGGAGGTCAAATAAGCACCTGAACCCGATAGAATCGTTCAATTTACCTCCTCAACCCTAAAAAAAATTAAGGGTTGAGGGGGTAAATTGAACATTTCAGTCGGGTTCAGGGGCTTATTTGACCCCCTAAGTTGCCATGTCACATGCACAGTTGGCACCCTACCGTGTGATGTGGCGGTGACCGGCTTGTAACCTGCAAAAAGTAAAATTTGAATCTTTTTATGGAGTTCAGGGTGCCAATTGGAGCTTTTTTGAGTTCGGAGGACAAATTGAACAATCCGGAAAGGTACATGGGCCTATTTGACCCTTTAGCCTAAATTCTTTCATCAAATATTTTGCAATATTTTCTATTTTATAGAGTTCTAAATATATTTAAATTATCAACATATACTGCAATTATGATGAATCATATTTTAGATTGATGAATGAAAACACATGGACTAATAGGATCATTTTTATGTCTTTCTTAAATCAAATATTCACTGAGAGAATTATACCACATACTTTCATATTTTTTCAGTCTATATAATGACTTTCCAATTTTATGGAAAACAAGTAGCATAAT